TCAATTATTTATTTCATCTTCTACTACTTTTGTAATTCTTGTGATCAAGCTAAGAGTCACATAATATCTTTTAATGAATCAAAATATTTATCATTCTCCTCTTGAACTTGTACATGTTGATATTTCGACCATCCCAGATAATTTCGCATAATGAGTTTCACTACTATATATTGTTTGTGGATGACTACTCCCGTTATACTTGTTTCTATCCAATAAAAAATAAATTAGAAGCTCCGCATAAATTTATTTATTTCAAATCCTTAGTCGAATAATAGAAATAAATCCATACAAACTCTTCGTACTAATGGGAGCGGTGAGTTTCTAAATCAAACACTTTAGTCATTCTTAACTAAGCACAGTATTCATCACCAATACGCGTGCCCTACACTCTCCAGCAAAATGGAATTGCTAAATGAAAACATAAACATCTACTTGATACCGTTCACACTTTGCTCATTGAATCGCGATTGCATGCATATTTCTGGGTTGATACTAGTATTATTGTTGTCTACCTAATTAATCGACTACCTTCTCCTACTACCTGTTCAATTTATCCATTTTAGCTCCTTTACAACATTTCCCTACATATCTTTGCTTTTTTTATTGGCGTTGCTATCCATGGCTTTGTCCTTGAGCTCCACACAAGCTGGCACCACAATCTGCTCTGAGCATTTTTCTTGGCCATGCCACCACAAAAATGGGCTACAAGTGGCACAATCCTGCTACAGGTCATATCATCGCCTATCAGCATGTCCAATTTGATGAATCCACACTCTCGCCGCCACCGTCCTTCTCTCCTCCGTTCCCAACTTCAGCAGCCTCTGAAATTCCTTGACATCCTATACCACCATAGATTCCCAATACTATAAATGTCTCAGCTCCTAGTTCCTTACCCTCTACCATAATTCCATCACTCGCATCCATACCAACTCCATATCTGTTTCTAATAATACAACTTCCTCTCACTCTACAAAATCTTCATCTTCGTCTGTCATCGTGCTACTTCGACATCCAAAACTTACACGGCTACAAACTGGTTGTCTTAAACCCAATCACATTCTCAATCTTAGCCACATACATTACAGTCCACTCCCACTTGTTACACCTCAGACATCAACATTATGAATGGTGTCAGGACACTGTCAATAGAATTTCATGCCCTCCAATCTGAAGGAACTTGGACTTTAGTTCCTCCTGCAATTCACAATGTCATACACAATGTCATACGTTGCAAATGGATATTCAAGATAAAAAAAATGCTAATAGTTCCATTGCCAGATATAAGGCACACTTAGTTACTCAAGGGTTTAAACAAAAACATGACATAAATTACCTTGAAACCTTTAGTCTTATCGCCAAATCCTCTACAATGGCAGCAAAACCTCTGTTTAAAATTGCACAATTAGAGGCGCGCCTTTGCGCAATTCCTTCAAAAAATGCCTCATAACCTACGCAATTCTGTGTCCTTAAGAGGCGTGCGCCTCACTGGGACTGAGGCGCGCCTCAGAGGCGCAATTGCGCAATTCCTGGTGAGGCGTACGCCTCTCTGGGATAGGGCCCACTCACTTAAAATGAGCCCTTTTCTCTCCTTTTACCCGATAGCCTTCAGCAAAGAGCAAACCCGACATTTCTCCCTCCCGCACGCTCCAGGTCGCTGCTCAGCACGCCGACGACCTCCTTCCCGCCGCTTCTCCCACCGGCGCCGCCTCTCTCCGGCGAAGTGGAAACTTCCGGCCGCCCTCTAGGAGTACTCCACATTGGATTTTAGGTATTTTTATTATGTTTAGGGATATATTTTTCAAGTTTAAGAAAAACTAGGGTTTGGAATTTTTTGATTTTTTTTAGTGTATTTGGTTTTTTGCTTTAGGAGACATTGTTAGAGGTAAAGAAAAGACGAATACGTCATTGTGGAGGGACCCTTCTTGGAAGTATAGTGTACAAGTTGACATTGGCGGCGGAGAGAAGAGCTATGTATGTTGGCACATCCACTAGTACTACACCACACACATCCACTAGCTCTGCAGCACAACAATCAAGTAAAGGTATTCCACAACTTCTTATATGCTATTACATTACATTTATGTCAAGTGAGCAATGAACATGAATACATGATAATGATCTTTTCTCTTAATGAACAGGGAAGAGAAAAGTGAGTCATGTTGAAGATGATGATGACATGGCATTCATAGATACAATTGGAGAAGAAGATTCACTTGAAGACCCATTTAGTGATGGGATATGATTTCATTTTATATGTTTTTTGTATTTTGGGAGTTTTGTTAAACTAATATTTTGTGATTTTGTACTTTGGGACATGATTTTATTGCATCTACTTTCTTATTTTCCACTATTGCTATTATTTTCCTGCTAAAACCCTTAATTTTTCATTTACGCAATTCTGTGTCCGTGAGGCTTACGCCTCAGACCGCCTCGAGGCTTACGCCTCGCCTCACGGACAAAAATATATATATATATATATATATATATATATATATATATATATATATGATCAAAATGATTCCCAATTATATTAAAAAAATATTTTGAGCCCCAAGTCTTTAAAAATTAATTAACATCTTTAAAGAATTGAGAGACCAAAATAGTCCTTTAGTATAGTTGGGGACCATTTTGATCTTTCTTTACATACACACACACTCAACTACTATAGTAGTTCAACATATAAATAATGAATACAAAAAATGTAGTTTCTGCTAAAATTCCCTAGTTCATGAATACCGTTACTGTTCCTTATTACTGTTTCATTAACTCGAAGGTTCACCACAGCTTCTAAGAATTTGACAAAATCATGTATAAAAAAATTCAATTTTCCCAAAACAAAAACCTAAATTAAAGCAAATCAAATGATTTTTAAATATTAGAAACAGAAACCAAATCAATATCCTCAGTTTTTCGAGATTTTTAGTTTTAAGCGTTATTCTAACCAACTCCTCATATAGTTAAAACTCAGCAAAAAACTAATAATTTGACATTTTCAACAATAAACATGAAGCTGAATAAGCATCAAAAGGTCAGCTAGGCTGCATTCCAGAATATCCCAAGCAGAACAGAACTAGGACAGAACTAGGGTGAAACGAAACCAAGAGAAACAAGCTAGCAAGGCAACAAGATCTAGCAACGAAAAAAAAAAACCAATACAACAAACTATGGCATCTTGATCTCGAGCTGAGCCAACCCTAGCTCAAGATCCATTCAAATCATTTAGTCTGATCTCAAAGGGAGGCCACCTACGCTGCATTCAAGAGTATCCCAAGCAGAACAGAACTAGTGTGAAACAGAAACGAGAAACAAGCTCGCAGTGCAACAAGGTCTAGCAATGAAAAAACAATACAATGAAGTATGGCTGCTTGATCTCAAGATGAGCTGACCCTAGCTCAAGATCCATTCAAATCATTTAGTCTGATCTCAAACATAGCAAAGTGTTGTTATAACCTGATTTGATCCAATCTCGATTTGAACTGATGATTTGTTAACTCCAACTGAAGACAAAAAACTGATCCATTTTTTATTGATTTTCAATCCCCTAAACCAAATTCTTAGTTTGACATTCATGCATAAGCCCATACTTATATAGACAAGTGCATAGATGCAAATATAGATTAACAAATATGTAAGTGCATACAAGAATATTAGTATAAATTTAGACTTAAGCTTGACTCAATTTAAGTTAGATACAAGCCAAGCTTGGCTCATTAGTAGGCTTGGTAACTACAATCCAAGTCAATATCGAAGTCAATTTGTGAACTGCCATTAATTTTTTTAGCCTAATTCACATTTCCCTAATGGCCTGGCAAAACTAATCTAACAGATAAAAGGTCGATAATACAAGTAGAGAGAAGATAAGAACAATGAATCATTTTAAGAAAAAATAACCAGAGCATGCTGCATGATGAGCTAACATTGGAAAACCTCAACATAAAAAGTAAGAGGAGAGTGACACGTCCCGCAGGACACCATTTCTCACCCTCTCCCTTTCTCTGAAAATCCTCCAACAAGGGTATTTTTTTCCAAGGAAATATTTGAATGTTGAAGTGGAATTAAAACTAAGGATGGAATTTAAACAGCTTAAGGGATCAAGTATCTAACAGAGATAGGAAACCACTCTCAAGGCCCAAGGCACCATTGACAGTAAGGTGGGCCATACAAAGGGGCAAAAATAGAACTTCATAAACTTACAAATAATGAGTCCCAACTAGGAGTGTAAGTGAGCCGAGCTAGCTCACGAGCCAAGCTTATTGAGCTCACGAGTCGAGCTAGAGCTCAAACTCGAGCTCGTTTAGTAAACGAGCTCGATGAGGCTCGGCTCGTGAGCTCGCAATCCGGCTAAAATTACTATTTGAATTTTTTTCAATTATTAAAAATTTTATTACATTTAAAAGTTATTAAAAAATTAAGTTCAAATTTTAAATGCTGCACGGTTTTCCGCCTATTTTACTTAATAAAATAAGTATAAAATGTCAATGTTAATAAATGTCATTAAATGCTTGTAGCTTTACTTATTATCAAAAAGGAATGTTTTAAATGTTGCCGGCAATCATCTTAAAATATTAATATTTTATTCACCATAGTATATGCTTTGAGATTTGCAAATTTAAAAAGTTTTCAGGCGGACTGGGCTTTCTTTGAGATGGCAGCTATGGGAAAACTGGGCGGGAAAATCTGTGCAAAAACCGGGCAGAAAAATTAAAATAGGCGGGTGCAAAACCGGCGCAGGCAAGAAATCGAGCGACTCGATGAGCTTGGTACAATGTCGCGAGTCGAGCACGCGACACCCCTAGTCCCAACATCAGCAATCTCTAAAATTATGCCTTATATAAATCATAATAAAACAATGCCCAGCTAAAAAGGAAATTAAAAAAAAATCCACTACACCAATTTCCAAATGAAAGAGCAGTGAACCAAAAGAAGTAGAGGACTGAGCTTTTATTAATACGTGAGGAATTATTTCATTAGAATAAGGTCCAGAAAGAATAAACACATACCTTCAATCTTCTTCACCTGTATGCTCTAATAGATAATTTGCAGCCAACTCCTCATTCCTGTCACAAGCTAAGAACGCCTCTATCACACGTGCCCGATCAAATCCCATTGCCTCCAGCTATGAAGAGATCCATCGCATCACATTAATGTAAAAACTACGAGAACAAACATAATTATACATGAAGGTGTAAGATACTTACCCGAGCAATGGCAATCTGCTCTTCAGCTGTCACACTAATGGCATGTGGCATCTCCTCCTCTTCTTGACCAAAGATATCACTGGAATATAAAGAGGAGGGAAAAAACCAGTAAAGAAGTATCTGACAAGGCATGGATATTCCACGTACATTTGAGTGAAAAGATGTATAAATTTCTATAATTGCAGGGCATTTAAAATACATTACAAGAATAAGTAAAGAATTCCTTAAGCTTCTCCATTTGAATATCAAAACAGTTATGATTATCCCCAAATAGTTAAATTCCAGAGGATTCAAACCCTCGCCTCCTCTTTGGAGCGGCGGGAGAATCACCAATTGAGCCATTCTCTAATAGTGACCCCAACTAGCTAAAACAAGAGTGATTGTGTTGATGAAAATAACAAATATTTTTTTATAGCTCAGCATCGTCATTGGAGTTAATGAAATAAATGAGTTGGAAGAAATGCCCTCTGATTACATGAGACAATGCAACCAGTGTTCAAGATTCCTATCATATAGTAAGCTAATCCCAACTTTCAAATTACTTCATAAAACAAATAGTTTTACAAGCTGATGGAAAACGTTACCCTTCAAGGCCCTCATGTTCATTAATTAACTGAAGAAACTCATAATGATGCTCCTGGATACGTCTAAGGAGTTGAGGGTTCTGCTTGCTTAGTTCTTGAAGCATTGGCTACAAAATAGAAATCTGCAATATAAGTCTTTGAGAAAATTTTCAATTTTAGTTTTCAAAGAATGTCAAGCGGTGAAAGGAAGGAGGGATGACGAGTGGATGGGTAAATGAACAGATGTAGGGTGTGTTTATTGTCTCAGAGGAGAGTTCTCAAACCTGCAAGATTTGTGGATTTGCTTGGACCATCGCCCGCAATGCCTGGAACTGTAGAGGAAAATAAAATTTAGAAGTCCCAACTAAATAAAATAAAATTAAACATATGTGAGGAAACAGTTATTTAATATGCTAGCAAACTGCATCACTTCCACTTGGTTGAAACTAAAAAAAAAATAAAATAAAAATAAAATAAAAAAAGAAATGAAAAGAACACTGTAGGACATGTGACCACGATCAACGGAAGGGGTTGCAATGCTGGACATGAGTGATGATCATCAGAAGGGCCCTGGTGGTGGAGGCAGTTGCTACGGTGGATAAACGAACACGATCTAAGAATGGGATGCGGGATTGACAATACCAAAGACAGGGAAAAACACGAAGTAGCTCTGATCGTGTGAGTGGCGTAATTCAAATTTGCACAAATCAGACAAATTCAGAATAAGAGAAAAATAGTCTAATAAAATAATTTTAAATCGAAAAAATTTTACTTTGAATATCTTTTTCTCCAAACCAAACACCTAAAACTTAGAACCCCTCACACATTTTTTACTTAACATCCAAAATAAATAGCCCCTTAATAGAAAGGGCTTACACTCGAAATAGAAGTTCAGATCACTTGACAAATACAAAGAGATGATATACAATGCCAGCTAAAAAGAGCCATAAGCAAAGAAAAACTTGTAATACACCCTTCCAAGCCACCTGCTTGATTAGATGATAAGCACTACCGACATAGCATGCAAACTTTCATCATGCAATAGAAAAAAGTAAGGGAATATGAAAACTATTATACTAAAAACAGATAAAATTCAACCTATAAAATAGTGTACATCACCCGAAAATTCAAGCAAACCAAACTGCTTCAAAATTGCATGGGCAATCAAATTGAAAAAGTGACAAGGCCAAGATCGTTATACACACTACAACTACAAGTATGACAGAAGAAAGAGCTCAAATTGCCATAGTAAAGAAGAGAAATAAGACTAACTACAAGTTGGGAAAGAGATAAGACCTAAGAATCCATAAACATGCTCACATATCGCCAACCAATGAACCATGATGAACCCACATAACATCAAAGAACGGAAAAAATAAAGGCCAAATGAAAGAGCTTGCAATACATAACATCGGATTAATCATTTACTCGTGCCCAGCTCATGAGTTAACTCCTGAAAAGGCCCGTATATCCAGGAAACATGAAGTTAAGTTTACTTCATAAAAAAATAGACAGACATATAAGAAGTATCATTCTGATCAAAATCATCACATCAATGCAATGTGGAACTGTGTATCTTTGCATAGATACTTTAACGGCTCATCAATAAATGAAATTGCAGAGAAAAATCATTTCGATCCCATCAACTTTTTACTACAATGCAGCATAAGATTTTTTTTTTTCCAGAGAACAAATTGTTGATTTCAAAAGTGGGCTGAAAAGGACAAATTTCTTAACTAGGCTGACACTCAAGCGCTAAAATCCAGTTTACAAGCATATTTATCCTAGTTATTTAGATCTAAAGGAGCCTTATGACACCAAGAGATAATTTCCTTCAAGGAAAATAATCAGTACTACAAAGAACTGGAAGGTATAATAGGAGTTAATGACGGTTAAAAATGTAGTCAGACTAGCAACTTTTGTTTATACATATAAAAAATAAATTAAAAGCATAATTAGAGGATCGAATTACCTGTTGATTGTTCCTCAAGAAATCAAGAGACCCAGCACCTTCACCTAATCCTGGGTTGCCCTATTGAAACTAAAACTATCATTGTTTGACTAATAAGATTGACCAAGTATGAAATTTGTTAAATAAAAAATGGAAATTTACCTGTGGAAACATGTCTAAAGGAGCTGAATTCGGTAACCCAGATGAAGGTAGTGTCCCTGTCGCAGCTGGTTCACCCAAGTTCGTACTCTGGTCAGAAGCTTGACTTGAAGGGAAATGGGCTACTGGGACAGCAACTTCAGCTGATGGAGGAATGCCCTGGGAAAAAAGAAAATTTCTGCAAATTCATAGAGCATTCCGGCCGCATCTTCACATTGAATGAAAAATAAACATCACATACAGAGTATAAATAATCAACGGCACGCTCTGGGTTGTTGTAAGCAGCACGAAGTGCACGTAAAACTGTATCCCTGTCCCAGTTTCCACCACCCATTTCTAGCAACTGCTGGACAGTAGATTCAATATTACTCCCTGCTACCAAATTTGAAGCTGCTTGATCATAAGCATCAGCTGTTGGCCTGACATCAAGAAGAATAAGTTTATCAGCTTTAACGGTCAGTTCCACAACATAAAATGCCAATATGATTGAACATGTCAACATGAACAAATAATCGGAAAACTCATAGAAGGTGGCTAAATAGTCGACGAAAACAAAGGAAAAAGAGAGAGAGAGAGAGAATAGCAACTCACACAAAGGAAAAAGAGAGAGAGAGAGAGAATAGCAACTCACACAACTAATGACCGGGACTCCGCAGCAGGAGTATGGGTAGGACTTGGAGTAGCAGCTAAAAGCTGTTGAGGAGGTGGCGCGGACACTTGAGGTTGTTGAGGTGGTGGCGCGGACACTTGAGGTTGTTGAGATGGTGGTGCGGACACTGGAGGTTGTTGAGGTGGTGGAGCAGTTGTTGAAGGCTATTCATACATAAAAGTTAGTAACCTAATCATAGCATTAGGATGCCAGCAGTAAAATTCAGCCATGACAGCCAAAAGCCAAAAACCAAAAAACTAGTAAATTAGTGTACCTGAATGGTAGATGATCCTCCTGTTGTGCTACCTGTTTTGCTCTGGAAAACAAGGCACGACGTCAAAACAAATTAATGAAAGGGTACGTTAAACATACAATGAGATAATTTAAAAAAAATGGTTTAGAGGGAAGAAAACACATTTTCATATTAATGTGCAATGAGCTAGATAACAAATAAGAATAAAACATCATAAAAAGCCAAACTTCATCCAATCGTTTAAGGAAAAGATGCCATCAAATAAATAAATGATAAGTTTACCATAAACAAAATTACTAAAAGTTGGTGGCAATACAATTCTTCAAAAAAACGAAGGAAAAAGTATGATTGCAATACAATTTCAATAATACAAACATACATGAAAATAATTGTTGGAGAACTGCAAATTTTGCTTGCGATCAGCATTAAGAAACTAACAAGGAAAAGTAAGATTTGTTTTGCATTAAATTAGGATACTAAATATAAATGAAATACTTTCAATTCAAGCATCTTAAAGAATCACAAGTCCTACGATCATGAAAAAAATATCGATTGAAAATTCTAATTTAATGAATATAAAAGACCAAGCAGTGGATCCACTTGAGTTGAAACAAAAATGAAATAATTCTTTCACTTAAAATAGACAAATGTATCCAAAATGAGACCACTAAATATTTGTTTTTTAAGGCATTAAAGAATCTTATAGTAAGCCCCAAGGGATCACCCATCCATCCAACACATAACAAATATAAATCATGGTTCATAATCTTTTTTTTTTTTTTTTGGGTGGCAACAAGACAAAACTATCATAAATAGAAGTTAGATTGGTTAGATAAATAAAAAACCACTTTCGATTGCCTATTAATTCAAGTTGGTGATTTCATGAGAGAGATGGCATTTATTTCATAATTCCACAGTTCTACGCCTAATAGGAGGCATTTGGATTATATCAGAAAAAGGAGGGCAATCATTATTGCAGGGCCCAGTTGAATCAGCTTATCATAAGCTAGCCCTCCTAAAAGAGAGTAGAAGAAATCTGGCATCTAACTTGAGTTAAACCAATTAAGGAACTAACTTAACCCCTGTCCACCTCAGGCCACAGAGCTGAACCTCACCCACTGATGTTACAAAGAAGTGTTAGAACTAACAAGCTTCTTCATTTGAGACAAGTGCAGAGGAAAATAAACACAGAATCCATATAATATGGATTAAGCACAAATCATTGAAATAAAGAGAATGATCATTTAACTAACATTACACAAATAGCATAATCAACACAAACCTATCTGCAGTGAAACCATTTTAGGAAAAAAAAAACATTATGTTCATTTCCCATAAAAACAACATATTCCTTCCTTCATATAGTAGATGGTAAAAAAACAAGTTCATATTTGTGAAGTCAGCCTGCTATTTATTTGCCATGAGAGCAGAACTTGGTTATGCTATAAAACATGCAGTGGTAGTCAGACAACTTGAAAAAGCAAAATCAGAAAGCACCTATCATGAGAAAAAAATGAGATTATGATATTAATTGGCATTATGATGCTAACTGAAGCATCAATCATAGAAGCAAAGTTATAAGAAATGGCAAAATTTATAGCCATAATAATAAAGAAAAAACCATAACATGCAAAAGGGGATGATTAACTTAAGCTGACACAGAGCAAATCACATTAATCAAATGTAACATAAGCATTATTTAAACTTAAACAAAATCCATTGAAAGGAAATTCATAGATAGGAGTACCTACAAACTGGAAAAAATATCCTGAGAGATTCTAGAGTTATGAGGTCACTGATTTAATCTGAGATGGTGGATCAATGTTACCAAATGATGAGAAGCCATGCAAAATGCTACTATAAGTTGGGCAGTTATATAGTTATAAAGCAACAGTCTCACCATCACCCTTCCTGGTTTCGCACAAAGTTACCCGGGAATGTGGAACTACTTGATACCAACATGTGAGACATAGCATTCTCAACAAAAAATAAAGAGTAGATACCTTAGTGATACATCATAAATTTCATAGAAACTAATGAATCGTTGAAATATGAGTGAATCTAATAAAAGTTTTGATTTGTCAAACCCCGAAACTACATGCATTATCACTTAAAAAGTATGGCTAGGCAACCATATTGGGATAAAACAACCATAAATATAAGCATAAAATATATTGACACATTTCTTTGGCTTTCATATCCATAAAATTATTCATCGTTAAGGCTCAGGTGCCTTTCAAACTTAAAATATTGCAATACCAAAAACTGAATATATGGAGTGTAATTTTAGTAATAATAGTTCTAGTGAGGGGATTGTGACTTTGCACGATCAAGTCATTAATAAGTACATGTTTTAAATATCTTGGATCTATTGTTCAAAGTGATGGTGCAATAGATGGGGATATTATTAGTAAAATTCAAGTTGGATGATTGAAGTTGATGCATCGGGCCTATTGTGTTATAGAAAAGTACCCCTCAAACTTAAAAGGAAAATTATATAAGATGATTGAGACTTGCAATGCTTTAAGGCGTAGAATGTTTACCATTAAAAGAGAAGCATAAGATTAATAAGTGTTATAGAGATGAAAATGCTCAAGTAAATGAGTGGCTTCACTCGAAATGAGTATGTAATTGAAAGGGTTGGAGTAGCTCTAGTGGCAAATGAAATTAGAGAGAGTCACCTTAGATGGTTTGGACACATAAAATGCCGGCCTTGCGATGACCCGGTTAGGAGAGTGGATGTATTGAATTTGGTCTATGTTAAAAAAGGTAGAAGTAGACCTAAAAAGGCTTGGCTAGAAAATATTAGAATTATTTTTTTATTAAATTTTAAATGAGAATTTGACTCTTAACAAGACACAATGGAGAAAAAACATTCATGTAGCCAACCCACATAGTGAGATAAAGGCTTGTTGTTGTTGTTAGAAAGGCTTCGGATAAGTTATAATGGTAAATTACATTAAAGTACCACAAAATGCAACAATAGAACTATCTAAATGTTCTGTTTTGAATTAAATGGATACAGGTGTATATATTATAGGATCTGTAAATAATGCTATCTGAAAAAACATCGCCATGTAAGTTTTGAAAACAACTGCTGGTATTACACATGAAAAAAAAAAAAACAATGCATTTGTTTCATAAATGACAAAGATGACATGGGGAAAAAAGGTAGCATGCATCAATGATTGGAGCATAAGAAATGCTATGCCAGAAGATATACCTGACTACCATAAATACTCACTTTCTTTATAGAAATAGAAAAATATTCAACTTGAATGCTTGACAGAATGAGAGTTATATATCACAAAGAAGAACAAAATATTTTGCTATAATCAACACAATAGCGAACCTATTACCCCAATAATACAAAGCCAAATTAGTTTCCTCTACCGAAAAAAAAAACATAATAAATCATAAATAAACTGAGGATATGAATAATTACAAAGCACATCAAATGAAAAAGAAAAAAGTTGTTTATATAAAATTCATATGGATGAATCTCAAATTTTAATTATAGCAAATAAAACAATCTTGCTGAGATGATATAGAAGTATGATAAATTACCTTGCTTAGCATGACAACAAGAAAGCCATCTTCACTAACTTTGTTCTCTTCAAGACTGCTTTCATCTTTCAATACCTTTCCATTGTGAATCAACAATTGTTGTCCCCATGGATAGCTATCCTTCCCTTGAACTTCTTCGATATTCTTTTTGACAGCCATAATCTATCAGAGAGAGAGAGAGAGAGAGTCATTAGAAGAGTTTCAAGAAGTAGCCCATTGCAAGGCATCAAAATGACCTTCGACACAACAAACATCGATTCAAAAACATGATCATAAAAAGCAAATACAACCAATGTTATAAGGTAGAACCTATGATGCACCGACACTTCTCCTCAAAGAGGCGTGCAGTGTCCGACACCGTGTCCGACACGACACTCGTCCGACACTCCTCCGACACGTGTCGGACACGCCGAAAACGTGTCCGATTAAAAAATATTAAAAACAAATTGGACACGCGTGTCCGACACGCGTATCTTAAAAATTTTATAATTTTTTAAAAATATAATTTTTTATATTTGGCGAGATTTAAACTAAATTTCTTATTTCATATCCACAACACCAAATCAACGTTTACATTTAATACCCATTCATCGAATATTCTCATTTTCATTTCTCTTTGGCAGTGAAGGTATTTACATCTCCTCTCTTTTTCCACAATTACAAATCTTTCTCTTGTTGAACCAGAGTTGAAAATAGTGATATTTAATGATGATGATATTGAAGGCCAAAAACAAACCTCTAAAGCTAATCCTAGTAGTTAAAGCTTGAATGCTTGATGTTGTAGTAAGTGATTATTTGATTATATTTTTGTGGTTGTACTAAATATTTTATATTATAAGCTAGACAAATTATCATGTCATTCATTTATTATTATTTGTCATTTCTAATATGATATTACATTAATATATATACACTATATAAAAAAATGTATTGTCGTGTCCGCGCCGTGCCCGTGTCCTATATTTTCAAAAAAAACCGTGTCTGTGTCGTGTCGTGTCCGTGTCGCCGTGTCTGTGTCCGTGCATCATAGGGTAGAACATAGTTAAACGCCCATTAGTAGTCGAAGCCATTTGGATCACAATAAGTTGATGTAATGTTACAAGTGGCTATACATTGCATACAAACCAACTAAGGCTGAGCTTAGTAAGGCTATGAGAAGCTTTACGAAATAAAATTCGCTAAACTTGTCTGGCTGGATGAACTGCTCTGCATGCTCATTCTACAAGGACGTGAAATGGTAAAGGGCATGCATCTTGATAGAGGTAAATTGTGAATTTCTAACACAAACCAATATTGTGGTATGGAAGGTTTTCTAAAAGCAACACATTACGACTTTAGCTATCAAAGACTTGTTTCCTAAAAAAGCATACCTTAAATAAAGATTATTTTGTATTTTATTACCTTGAATGTGAATTGAATTTATTCATTAAATCAAACATTATAATGTGAATGATGCATGAATGCATATTCATCACAAAATCATTGCTTTATCAAAATCATTAACGCAATTGCAGCAAGAAAAAAATAAGAAAATAAAAACAGAGCCAAGTCCTATGCATTGCAACCCAATATCCTTGCTGATCATTAATGAGATGCCAACATATGGTAATATATCTTCAAATTTTACTTATTGTATACTATCTCAGCTAAAAACTTTTAATGATATCAAAATCTGAAAAAAAAAAAAAAAATCATCCTGCTAAATTATGAATCATGATGAGAGTCCCTACTGCCGACATTAAATTCCAAAAGACCACGCAAAGTTGTCCACAAACATTCCAACCTGAAGAATTTTCAATCCTCTCACCCTATTACCAACCACTGACAGACAATTTCACAGTACAACCATTTAACACCTGGAATTTAGCCAATTAAAATCATTCCTAAAATCTTATTGCACCCGAAACAAAGTTAAATTACATTAACGGTCACTCCCTCTATCCCGCAAAAACGTAAGTTCTCACAATTTCACTATTCATCAAATAAAAACAAAAAACTTATTACCAAGAATCCTTCCAACACTTAAACTGCATCACAGAAAGTCGTCATCTTACAAAGGCCTCGTGCAAGTTGAATTCATATTGCTTGCTAGAAAATTCAAGCCTTTCCTTTTCAGAATGAAAAAATGGCAATCGCTTGAAGTAAGGAATATATAAAAGACATAATACAGAGCTGGACGTGGCAAACCGAACACAAGAACAACAATAACTCCAAAAACTACATCACGAAAGATCAATTTATTTCCAAAAAAACACGTATGTTCTCCCATCAACCCCTTCCATAACAACGCAAAACAAAGCCATTAAATGAAGCCTTTTTACGATCAGAAATAGTCCACAAATAACATAGAAAGATATGTAGAGATATAGAGCAGTACCGTATCATTAGGATGAACCTGGATCTCGAAGTGACTCCCCCTTAGCGTCTTCACCGTTAGCTTCATCTCTGCCGGGAAGTGTGGGAGAAAAGTCGGGGACGAGAAACCCTAGCTACGTTGAAAGGAACCCAGAAAGCATATGCCGAAAGGAGAAAGCAGCGGTTTAGGGCCGGATCCGCTTGTCGGATATATTTCGGGTTTTAATTATTATAATTAAAAAATATTATAATTAATTTTATCTCAATTATTCAAAATATACATAATAATTTCTCATTATTTATTTATTTTTATTATTATTAATTGAGAAGTTAAATTTTTTCTTTGCAATCATTTTTTAGAGAATTTTGAAATATGAATTAATGATAAACTTGGGTGAAAGCGACAATAATTTGTATTTCATATATACAAAATAAATTATAATATTAGTATAAATTAAGCTAAAATGGTCATCATGCTTAACATTATTGATCCCCTAAGCTTAGTTTTAGAACCTATTACAACCTTCACCCTCCTACTTAATTATTTATTTTTAACTTATGTTGTGATTACTCTTGTTAATAATTGTGCTAAATGCTAAAATATTCATGATGGCAGAGTGAAATATTAATATCTTAGCATTGTATGAACATTAAACACACTGCTAAAAAAGATTGCAAGAAGACAAATATAATTTTACATGAAAAACAAAAAAGGCTATAGTGATCAGATAATGATGGTTATACGATAGTAAATGGACTATGGCGGCTAGGCAACAATGGCATATGATGATAGCAGTTAAGTGGTTGCAGTTGGACAATAATAATTGGAGGTGATTGAGAGCATCGAATGCCATAAAAAGTTCTATTGTTTCTCAAATCTCTAAATTATGTTCAAACACTCATCCATAATGTTTTCATGAGATTCAATTTATAGCATTTTAGGAATGATGTTTTGACAAATTGAATGTCTAGATGAGTGGAATATAAGGACGCCAAAAGTATGTTGATGACGTCCAAATGGGCACATATCAAGTATTTGAAGTATAATTGGAAGCTTCGTGACATCAACTGAAATATAAAACAATCTCATACTTTCTTATAATCAGAACAATTAATTAGCGAAACAAATTCAAGGAGCTTTTGATCACACAATTTAGAGGTCATTAAAGCATTTAAATGCTAAATGAGTGATCTATGATCAAGGAAATCAATATGGATTATCAGATGAAGTATTTCATGATTTTTTTTAAATCTATCATAATGCAACTTTAGAAAAATATAAATAAATCATTACTTTTTGCATAAAATGAGGGTGGGGACTAGGAGCTAAACCTAGACTTCATTTTTTTGAGAATTTAGCCCAATGATCAACATCGATGAACATCTTGAATAATTGTCATTGCTAACCGTTGTTGGCCAACCAATATCACTTTATTATGCTATCATAACCACTATTGTCTAAACATCGTTGATCGGCTATGATCTCCCAACCTGTATCGTCCGACTATCATCCACTGGTTATCATTTCATGTCAACTTCTTCACCAATAAAGTTATGTATAACATCACCTGGAAGGCTAATGAAAACATCATTGCCACGACATGTCGATGCCTTCCAATTTCATTGCCTATCATTTCCAATAACATTGATGTATATCATTTTTAATCAGATGTCTGCTGGCTTCATCTACAACCAATATCGATGCCTGCTAGCTTCATCTACAGCCGTCAACAACAATATTGATAAATATCATCTCCAATAAGGTCAATGCATGTTGTCGACGCCAACATCGATGCTAGTGGACTTCATCACCAGTTATCAACAATAACATTAAGTCATGACATTATGAATAAGGTCGGTGCATGTCGTAGACTCTAAATATAATTTATAATGTCAACAGTAATACTTGTACTATACTTTTGGGTCTATTGTCTTCTTTCCTCAATAGAGAACAAATGATCTCTTAAAAACAACTCTAATAATGTCTCAAGACTCATCCAACTTCCAGTCTGAAATTCATCCTCTAGTTTCATGTCTACTACATCGTATTAATGCATTCCTAAATTACAAGGAAGAGCATCATTTATAACACACAATATATACAAGTGAAATTCTTTCAACTTGATCATGCCTAGGGTTTTCCTCGTTTCGGTTATCCACATGATTTTTTTTTTTTTGTCTTTTGCAATGTTCATTTATCCATGTGTATGCTATAAATTCTCTCTATATATATACTTTAAAATTAAAAATTTAAATTCTCTTTCTATACTTCATTTGAATTTAAAAAAAAATTGAATGAAATGAAATATAAATAATTTATTATTATTTAGTAAAATTATGCCCATCAATTTTAGCCTTTTAATTGCTTGCACATGTCATTTCCTTCTAATCAAAATATCCAAATCCAAACACACCTTTAATAGATATCCATGAAAAGGAGATTTATAGACTCCAAATCAATCGAAAAATAAACATAATCATCTTCGTTAGTTAGCCTCATCTCAATGACCTCAAAAGTCCAATCATAAAAGAATGATCATAAGTTAAGCTTTATTTCAATCATGGTTAAGGTGTTATATTGATAAAAATGAATACAAATTAAGGCTTCATTTGCGACATCTTTTTTATTGCTTTCTAAAATAACTTTTTTATACAAATTTTTTTGTACTAAAAAAAAATTAAGAAACAGTAAGAAAATCGTCCAAAATGAAACGTAAGTTGTAACAAAATATTAAAAGCATTATTCAGTTTTCTTAATATTTATAAATATAACTATCCTCGTATGCCCTTAATTTGTTATTCCCTTACTCTAGTTATCATCATTAAATCCAAATTTCTACAATGCATGTTATATTGTTATGATAAGTGTCACAAAATGCCTTATTCTTCACTGCACATATTCTTCTCCCTTTGGAATGACTCCCCAACTCTTGGCCACATCAATTGCAAAAGCAGTTCTTAAGAACTATCTTTTAAATTCCAATAGATGCCATAGTGTGTTGAAATAGGAGCATGGAGAAGATGCTTTTCTTCACTTATACTTCTAAGACTCCTTAAAAAAAGTAGAAAATTTTGGACTTTTGAGAAGAGAACAAGCAAAGTGTCTATGCCTCTTGCCAACTTCTACAAGATTGGAGATTTGGAATCAGAATAAGGCTTCATTTGGGACGATTTTCTACCTACTTCTTAAAGTAGCTTTCTAGTACAAAATTTAAAATTTTTGTACTAAAAAGCCGCTTTAAGAATTAAATTTTTGTACTAGAATGCCGCTTTAAGAAGTAGGAAGACAGCCGTCCTAAACGAAACCTAAGACATCACATATCCCAGCAATTAATCAATATCTGAAAGCTAATCACAAAATGGTTTTGTTCATTGGAATTTGGCATCTTTTACCTACAAAAGAAATCTCAGTTATGTCTGTATAGCTTCATAGTGTTCCTTCTGCCTAATTTTTTCAGAATATTACTTCCCCATTGTCTTGGAATCATGCAAGTAGATGATTATCTTCCATGTTTTATTTGAAACGACTTTCTTATTACTTTATATTATTACTGTAGGAAAAAATATATTTTTATTGTTGTTGTAAAAAGCAACTTCCAAAATAATCGCCAAACAAGAATTTTGATTACCATATGAAAACAAAATAGTAAGAAAGCTGTCTCAAATGAAGCCTAAGACTTCGTTTGAGACGGTTTTTTTACTGTTTTTTAAAGCGGCTTTTTAATATAAAATTTTAATTTTTGTACTATAAAGTTGCTTTAAGAAACATTAAAAAAACTGCTCCATACGAAACCTAAATTTTTTTTACGGCAATCAGAGTGAGCTATGGAGCAATAGGAGAAGTGGCAAAGATCCTTAGCAACTTGGCTGCCATTCTTAAGGGAATCAGATCCATTATTCAGTTATTCCAAGCATTCCATTATCTTCTAATGCATCCCAACAACAAGACAATTCTGAAGTTCTAATTCCGTCCAAATTCAATGCATTGTTATTTTAAGCAACTATTAGTACATATTCTTAATTAAGAGAGTTAATATAGGGTGATTAGGACATAATCAATCCTTTTAAGGTATAACAACTTCGATAAAATGTTATTTAAATTTAGAAGTAATAAGAACGCATGCCTATATATAAATATTTGTGACTCAACAGTAAATTTTTTAAATTAAAAATTTGTTTCATAAAGCATTAAAAAATTCGTCTCAAATAGAGCCTAAATTAAATTTTTTTTCCCCTTAATTTAGGCATGTATTTTTAAAACTGTACGTAAGCACTACTACTCTGTTGCTATGGTTTTCATACCTACAGGTAGCAATTAATTATACTTCTACGAAGAAATTGTAACTAAAATTTTTAACTGCACAAATAATAACGGTTGCGGGTTGAAATATACGTGGCAATGCAGTTAGAATTTTTCGTTTCAGCGTTGTACGAATATCCAGCACACAAACAGAAGATGAAAGAAAATCATGAAAAAGAAAAAAATCACGGGGCCACGCCCTGCTGAAAAAGATTATATTAGTGTTTGAATTGATTACAAGTGACTGACTCGTCCTTGAAATTATTACAATAATTAATTGTCGGGTTGAAATCCAGTTACAAATGGATATCAAAAATCAGACGACATTTTGTGACGATTAGGCGGAAATTAGGCTTCAATTGACGGTCTGACAGAATTCCAGTGTCAGTCGGTGGCCGGGCAGAACTTCAGAGTCAATTGATGGTAGGGCAGAACTTCGACGGTGGTCGAGGAGTCGTCTTGTGGCAAGAGAACTCTTTTCCTTCTCTTATCTACTTGCTTTGGTCCCCTCTCATGAGAAATGAGGTATCTATTTATAATTTTATGAGAGTGGCATGACTAGTCAATAGGAGGAAAATCAATGGTAAATTGTGAGTGATTTGAATGGACGATCGATGTTAAATTCCTTGATCCTGGAATGTTTGCTGGATATTTGAATGTCTTTACGATATCAAAATTTGGCGATCTTGAGCTCTTTGGATTCGTCTCGTCGAGCCGCTCGATTCTATTATAAGCATGTCACATTTGGAAACTGTTTGGTAATCCAAATTATGGATCAAACCTTCCAAACACATTTCATATTTTTGATTTGGACCTATTTGAGATTGGATTGGGTTGAATTTGGTGTCGTTGGGTTCGTATTTTTGAGACGTTCAGTTCGACGGTAAGTTTTTTGAAACCGGAGTTCATATGATTTACGATTTAATTTTTGAAATTTTCAACTTGATTTTTGCCTCTAGATTCGTGTCCGATCAAGATATTTTTTGATGATATATAAAAAAAATATTATTATTATATTAACATTTTAAGATTTTAGTTCATAATTGCGGCAAAATTATATTTTTTGTCAGAAATTAAGAGAAAAAATACGATTCAAAATAAACATTTATTTTGCCACAGCTTTTAAATAAAGTAAAATTATAAGCTCAAATAATAATAGCCAATGATTTCCTCATATACATTTTTACAATTATTAAAATTACGATAGAGTAAATTTTGAAATTAAAGCAACTTCAAAGTTATCATCAAATTAAGGTCTTCATTATCCATTTGGCAACCATTATCAATTGTGTTAAGACTTAATTAATCTGCAATCACACAAGCAACCAATAATTTGATTAAGGCTGTGTTAATTCCCATAAGCAATATCGAAATGAGAAGAAAGAGTTTCTTAAGCTTTAATGAAGAAGTAATATCATATAATTAAGCCAACGATTAAGAAAAAAACAAATTTTAATTAGTTTACTTTTCTTTCACTTTTTAACTGAATATATAACAAGCGAGACAAATATTTACCCTTATAACTTTGGCTTCCGCCATTAAAATGGCAACTTGCTTGTAACTTGCCAAGCTCCTTAATGCCTACTTGCCTCTCTAACCAATCTCTTCTTTAAATTAGCTTCTCCTCATCCCTCCTTATTTGAAGCAATTAAGATAATTGGAAGCAAAGCAAGCTATGAAGATTGACGACGACGTTGTTGATCAGAAGAGGAAGTATGCGCTGCTTCTCGCAGCGAGGGATTCTGATTACGTGCGAATGAAGTATGGTGGTTACTTCAATGTCTTCGTTGGTGTGTTTGGGAGTGAAGGGGAGGTTTGGGATCTTTTTCGTGTTGTTGATGGAGAGTTTCCTGAAGACGAAGAACTGAACAAGTATGATGGTTTTATTGTGAGTGGCAGCCCTTATGATGCGTATGGAGATGATATATGGATACTCAGGCTTTGTCTCCTGTTGCGAACGTTGGATTTTATGAAGAAGAAAGTTATTGGAGTATGTTTTGGCCATCAGGTAAGGCTTTGTTTTAATTTTTTTTTATTGGATTTTCTTTGGGACGACTTTGTAGCTGCTTTCTAAAGCAGTTGTTTAGTACAAAAATTTTTAGTTTAAAAAATTTTTGCACTAAAAACTGTTTTAGAAATCAGTAAGAAAATCATCTCAAAGAAAGCCGGTAGAGTGACGATTATATATATATATATATATTTAAATGTAGTTATATTTAAAAAAAATGTTGATATATGGATGACTAAATCCATATTTTTATTAAAAAAATTAGAATCAAATTTGTAACTATAATATCAATAGCAACATTTATTCAAAAAATATAAGTACAATATGAAAATAATAATAATAAATGGACTAGCAACAATTTTTAAAATATTATTTACAAACTTTTTTTTAATAAGTATTATAGACGATCAAATTTATGATAGTAAATATCATACCAAACATCATTAATATAGTATAACACATCAAAACACATACAACACAATACAATACAATACATATATACATATGACAACAATATTATCAATTAGAGCTTTAATTCATTCACTACAAGAAAAACTATTTTTTTTCCGGCGGCAAAATTACCATAAAAAAAAAGTGTTGCCGACGAAGTTTAATTCCCAGTAACTTATCATCTCTAGCCAAATTCCATTTCATAATATAAAAAAAGAATATACCAAGTCCTATATTCTTTCTCCAAAATGAAAGAAAGAAATGGCAAAAAAAAATGGTGTTTCTGAACAGTGCGATGTCAATATTGACGTCACACTGTTCATCTCATGTAAAATGCCACCGAATCTGGCATTGAGTTGAAGTTCGGTTAGAGATAGATGCCCTAAACAAGTGAAAATGATCCCAAATTGGATCGATTCATTAATGCAAGATTTGTCTTGTAATAGGTTCTCTGTCGAGCTTTGGGAGGCCATGTTGGTAAGGCTCTTGGAGGATGGGAAGTTGGCATCAAACAAGTCACCTTTGTTGATGACTTTCTGCAATATTGTCCATTTATGCAAGACTTTCACCATATACCTCACCATGCTTCTATCATAGAGTGCCATCAGGATGAGGTAATATACAGAGAGAGAGAGAGAGAGAGAGAGAGAGAGAGAGAGAGAGAGAGAGAGATTGAATAGGGATTAATGGTTTCCTGGCTATGCAACAGGTATGGGAGCCTCCAATTGATGCTAAGGTGATTGCTTATTCAGAGAAAACAGCAGTGGAGGCATTCTGCATTGATGATCATATTCTGGGAATTCAAGGGCATCCAGAGTACACAAAAGACATCTTAGATAATCTTATCGGTCGTCTTGTTGACAATAATTCCATTGATGTAAGTGTTTTTTTTATACATTTATGATTATGTTTGAAGAAAATCGATTGAAATTTACTATAAAATTTGAATTTCTAAGATGGATTTTGCTGAGGAGGCGAGGAAGAAAATGGAGCTAGTTGAGCCAGACAGGAAGTTTTGGGAGGAGATGTGCAGGAATTTTTTGAAAGGGAGGAAAGAAAGGCATTCACTATTGCTTTGCTAACAAAAGATGTTCAAGCATTGAAGATCTACTGCATTTATGGGACTTCTTATAGATAATTTTCAAACTTTTTTTTTCTGTTTTTTCTTTGGTTCATTTGATTGAATATCAGATGTAATCAAAACTTTATCATGAACTTTTTTTTTGTAATTTTCCTTTTTAAATGAAAATTTATCCTATTTTAAGATATACAATTTTCTAACAAAAATTATCCTTGATCGATATAATTAAAAACCTGTAGTTACAGTATGAAAATTGAATGCCACGAATAACATATTCAATGATAAATTTTGATTACACGAATATTATATTTTTCACAAATTAGAGAACTACAAGAAAGATTGGTTAAAATCAAAGAAAGAAGCAAAAATCAAATAATCAGAAAAGCTTATAATGTCCCCAAATCTCAGAATAGTCATCAATACTCAATTATATTTAAAAATGAAAAATTTGCTAACCGCGAGATCTTAAAAAAAATTTGATAACAAATAATGGTCATGTTTCTTTGAGTAGATTATTACATGCGGAGTCCGAATAAGAGAATCATCTGAATTCAGTGAGAGCATACAATAAATACATAGCAAATATAAAGTTTTATTATTTACTGTGTACCATCACAGAATCCAGACGATTCTTCTGTCTAACAATTTCTCGCTTCTATGAGTTTAGGGACCACAAACCCACTTGAGATACTTAGATCTCAGCAAACTAATGCACAAAATTAATTGCAAAAGCACCCTTAAAATATTTTCTACTTTTTACCATTATATTCTCATGCAAAGGAATTCCATAATACTTAAAATATTTTATTTGCACGATTTGTGTATGGCTAAACATTATTAAACTCTCCTTAGACAATGATTTTTTATTATAAATAATATTTTTTATTGATGATTATATTCAATAATTATTTTAATCTTAATTGATTTAAATCATTTTTTTTAATTTTATTAAAAAAATATGAATCACCTCAAATTGACTCTATCTCTATTTATAGACTTATAAATGCTTGTCTTGATACATTTGTAGTCATGTATAAATTATATATATATATATATTAATACGTCATCACAAAATTAGCTTGATCGGGCACGAATCTCAAGGCAAAAGCTAGTTGGAGACTTCAAAAATTAAATCCGGGAGCATCCGAACTCCGATTTTAATGAGCTTACAGTCAAACTGAGCGTCTCGGAAATACGAACCCAACGACACCAAGATCGACCCAATCCGAGCCCAAATGAGTCCGAAATCAACGGTCAAAGCAATGTCAGAAGGTTCAAACCGCAATTTGAGTTACCAAACGGTATCCGATTTTGACGAGCTTATACTTGAATCGTAACGGCTCGATGAGATGAAATACAACAAGTCCAAGATCACTAAATTCCGACATCATTAAGCCTCCAAATGTTCAACGAACGGTGCATGATCGTAGGATTCAATATCGGCCGTCCATTTGACCACTCCCTATTCGCCCCTGATCTCACTCCTATTTACAGGCCTTGCCTCTCCAGAAAATCTATAAATAGAGCCATCATTCTTCACAAGAGAGGATCCAAGCAAGAGAGAGAAGAAGAGAAGAGAATGAAGGAGTTCCTCCTCGACAGCCGCCGGACCAACCGCAGAACCTCGCCGGACCACCGCGCCGACCACCGCAGGAGCCCTCGTCGGAACCACCGTCGGACCACCGTAGGAACCTCGCCGGACCACCACCTTAAGGCCCGACGTTCAGTCCTCCCTACGTCCTGCCAAAGACCCGACGTCTTGTTCAAGGCCCGACACTCAGTCCCTACGTCCTGCCAAAGACCCGACGTCTTGTTCAAGGCCCGACACTGCGTCCTACTTCCTGCCAAAGACCCGACGTCTTTGTTCAAGACCCGAACACTAAGTCACTACGTCCTGCTGAAGACCGACGCCCTACTCAGGGCCCGACATTCAGTCCCTACGTCCTGCCGAAGGCTCGACATCTTACTTAAGTAATTGATTGTAATCTGTTCACCCCTAGAGGTGATTCAGTCCTTTGTAACCAACTCAAAATCTAGTGGAACCATTTTCAACTGGGCTAGGCCTCGTGGTTTTTTCCCTTTTAAGGGTTTTCCACGTAAAAAATTTTTTGTTCTTTGTGTGTACTAGTTATACGTACAACGCTAAGACGTAGAATCAAATCTCTATCGCCTCGTAATTTCTAGCCCGCAACATATATATATATATATATATATTTCATTGTATAATTTTATAAATAAATATTAATAACATATTTATTGCTAAAAATCTTAATTTATATTATTTAATAAAATAAATATATTTTTCTTGAATTAATCAAAATTTGATCACTTTAGTTTTATTTAAAATTGACATCGAAATTTTAGATTTCGAATTAATGCCAAACATTAGACCTCTTTGCATCACATTCCTCCATCATTGGCCAAATTTGGCCAAGCCTAAAACCCCAAGAGAATGCTTCTTTTTATTAATTAATAGGACCACAATTCCACATATGATAGTGAGATATCAACACAAAATCCACAGTATGTTCACCATGATCTACATAGTCACATTGGTCCTGGTTCTCTGATAGCTACATTTCAATAGGAGATTTGAACCACATAGGGCCAAATTTGTGCTTGGTGTTTGTCTCCAAGTATTGCCAAAATTAATTTTGAGCATCCTCTAGTTGGAAAAAAAAAACTTAATTGTTCTTGGATTTGCATTGAGATTAATTATGAAAATCTTAATTAATATGATATTTCGAATTAATCTCAACGTAAATTTAAAGGCAATTTTTAATTAATTAACTCTATTTACTAATAAAATGTAATTTTTTTTTCAAGGAAACTTGTTTTTAATAAATTAGTGAGATACTTTGGGTTCGTTTGGGACGGCGGTAACATTTTCTATAAAGGTGGTTTGTAAAGTTACTATGAATGAAGTAGTTTTTATGAAAGGTGCTATAGAAAATATCTTTCTAGCACAAAAAAATTCATTGAAGCAGTAAAAAAGTTATGATCAAATAAAAATTATAATTACAGTCTGAAAAGCAAAGCAGTAAAAAAATTGTCTCAAGCTGTATTCTAGTAGATTATGAGATTAATTTCTTTGAACTCGATGTGTATCGAGGATGCTATTCGTTTAGGTGTATTAAACATGTGTGCATATTCGTTTAGGTTGTATTAAACATGTGTCCTAGGCTTTAATCACCTATATGAATTTAAAGCATAGCCTATAGTTGTATTGAATACATATAGTTTTCCTATATGACAAAGTCATTTGTGAATATTCGAAGCAAGAATGAATGGTTATGTTGGACAATTCATATGCATGTTTGAATCACTACCATAGATAACTTTAAACATGAAGTTTTATGATGATGTTTGAACAATTCCATATGCTTTATAGTATAAAGCTCGTCATACTTTTTTTTTAAATGTGAATGTGAATGATCATATTGGAGAACTTGCATACATAAATATGCTTTGATAACGTAGATAATTGTGAGATCAAGAGCTTGAAAAGTTATCATGTTTAAGTCATGATTATCGCGTAAGATTTTCCTGATCAAGTCAAATATATGTTTGATATTTTGATTCTCGAATGACGGCTCTCTTATGTTTTAGTAGAATGTATTATTCGTTGTCAAAGAGATATATGATGTTTGAATTCATAGAATCATGAATGGATAGAAATTTTGTTATATATGGTTGTACGTGTTCCAATTTATGTACACATTTTGGATTTCAAAAGCATGTAAAAGTTTGGCATGAACATATATTATTTTCATTTCCCCTTCTCCACATGTATCATACTAAAAAATATAATTTGAAGTATTAAACTAGCTCTCTACACTTGCCATGACAGCTTGATTATCAACAACTTAGCTCTCTTTCTTATGCATATATATTGATAGCTTGTTTGATGACAAAATTCATATGTAGTAAAACAAATGTTATACTTATAGAGATTTCTTTGATAATATCATATTCCCTTTTTAAGTTGTTTTGATCGTTTATTGGATATATTATTCACCCTTAAATATATATGTGGAGTTTGTTTTAATGTCTAAGAAAAGAGAGTTCAAGTTATGACTTTGTTGGAAAGTTTACATGCAAGCTTATAATATTTGGTGGAAAACTCTTACATGTTCTATGCATGATTCTTCTATATATTTTATGATAGCGAATTTCCATGCAATGTTAGTAAGTCTTACATGCTTTATGTGTAGTGTTCTTCCATGTCAACTCTCTTCACTCATGTTAGAAAACTTTTCCATTAATTTATGTTTAAACGATAATGTATACATGTTTGATAGATACAAATATTGAATTGCCTATTAGTTAGATCTTTATCGGCTTGCATTTCATTTGATTAGTATTTACTATCATCATTGTTTTCCTTATGTTTTTCTTGCGAGGTATGTCATGTCTTGCATGTGTCGTTAGTTAGCGGATTGTGCTTGCATGGGTCTTATGGAAAGACTCATACGTTTTGTTGGGAGTTTGCGGGAATGCCCTGATGTTGGCTAAAGACTAACTAATCTATACATGATGGTAGGTCGATGAACTTTTCTTTAAATATTGTATTTTGGTGTTATCATCGATTGAGTCATGTATAGATTAGTTAGTCATAATTGCTTTCCTTAAATGCCAGATTAATTTAGGAAAAATTGTCCTGGATCGTCCTGGCTGATATTTTATAGTCATTGACGATCCTCTGAACGATGTCAAAAAATAAGTAATTCCTAAATAGATTTGACGGCAGATTCTTTCTAAATTGAGCCTATCGTCCTGGCCGATACAAAATCGTCCAGGGCGATATTTTTTGCATAATGACGACTGCTTTAATGAGGATGCCCTAATTATGGTTTTTGCTTTTGAACCGATCGTCCAGGACGATATAAATATCGTCCCAGACAATGTTACAAAAAACAGTAAACATTAGGGAATAGTCAGAGAATCTTCCAAGTTACAAATCATCAGGAGCCACACCACATATAATAGACTCAAGAAAAGAAAATGGTTACAAATTTACTCAGACCTAATTTACCCAATCTTGAGCTGGTTCCAAAATACAATCTGATCTTGTGGACCTGCAATATCAGTAAATAAGACAGTTGTAGAGAAATAAGAGTATTTGCA